ACTACTACTACTACTACTACTACTACTACTGCTGCTACTACTACTACTACTACTGTTTCTACTGCTGCTACTGCTGCTACTACTACTACTACTACTATTACTACTACTGTTTCTACTACTGCTACTACTACTACTACTACTACTACTACTACTACTACTACTACTACTACTGTTACTACTGCTACTACTACTACTTCTACTGCTGCTACTACTGCTACTGCTGCTGCTACTGCTACTGTTTCTACTACTGCTACTACTACTACTATTGTTACTACTACTGTTACTACTACTACTGTTGCTACTACTACTGCTACTACTACTACTACTACTGTTACTACTACTACTACTACTACTACTACTTTTATTTATTTCAGTTATTCAAAAGCAAAGGCATTATTCTATTGTAAATCTTGCAGCCAAACATTTTCCTGTTCTTATTTTGCAGATGTTTAGTGTCTCTTGTTTTGTCGTCCTCAAACAAAACAGCCCCAGAACAAAACCGAGCCTCCTCCAGGCTTCACAGTAGGGACAGTGTTCTTTTATTGGTGCGCTTCATTTTTGCATCTGTGAACATAGAGCATAGAGAGCTTTGTGCCAGGTCTGTTTGCATTATGTCTAATTCCAGTCTCACTTTTTTATGATTTGCTCTCAGCAGTGGTGTCCGCTTTGGCATAAACAGTGACTTACTCACAAACTCCCTTTTTATTAAAGATCTTACATATATCACACAAAATTGACTCTTTAAACTTTAAACTGAGCTTTAAACCATGTTATAATATTGTTACCTCCTCAAAAACAAACCTGGAGTTGTTTTTTTGTTTCATTCACACATGTTCAAGTAACTCTTTATTATTAGTCGGTCTACATCCACCTTATGATGTCATGAAGTGGTAGTTTTCAAGTTAACACCTACCTTCAGTGTTGGGGAGTAACAGATTACATGTACCGGAGTTACGTAATCAGAGTACAAATTATAAGAAACTGTATTCAGTTACAGTTACTGTTTCAGTGAGTGGGAATTGGATTACAGTTACTTTGTTGAAATAAATGGATTACACGATGGTATTTTCCTGTTTTCTCATTGGGGGCTATATCCCTTTTTTTTGGTAATTCCACTCATTGGCGGACACTAAAACCAGGACTAAACCAGGACTAAACCAGGACTAAACCAGGACTAAACCAGGACTAAAACAGGACTAAAACAGTATTTAACAGGATTTAACCATGCTGTGTGGACCGTGTCTCCTCCTCCTCTTCTATCAATAATATTTTTAATCTGGTTAAGTAAAGTTTGGGCTTTTCATTGTCTTTTATAGGACAAAACATCTCATGTGAAGATATCCTAGTCTTTGCTTCTCTACAGCAAATCAAGTAATCCAAAGTATTCAGATTACGTTACTCACTTTAAGTAATTTAATGGATTATGTTACAAACTACTTTTTGATGTGTGTAATCTGTAATCTGTAGGGGAATACATTTTAAAAGTAACCCTCCCAACACTGCCTACCTTTTACCTTTAGTTCAGTAGAGATTTGCAATTCCAGAGCTGAAATGATCCAAATGATTCTAGTGAAGATGTATGGAGTATAAAAACACAACAGAGCACCTCCTGTATTACCTCATGACATCACGAGGTGGAGCAGTATTTTGTTTGAGAGAAATGAAAATGAGAGTGAATGAAAAACAAAACACACACCCACATCTGTTTGTGCTCAGGAAACAACATTATAACATCAGAAACATCAGAAAATTGCGTAATATGAGTGAGTCCTCTAATAAAAATCAGATATAAAACTTGTAGCTGTACATTTTCCGGTTTTGATTTTGCAGTTTGATGCTTTATATTTTGTTTTGTCGTCTTCGAATCTGTTCACAAACGCATTTATTATTAATTCTGTACATCTCCATTAATTATATTTGTGTCGACATCTCGGCTGACACGTGTAATCCTTTTTATATCTGATAAATCTCTTGTTTTGTTTTGTTGTGGTTGCTCGCTAACCTTAACAGAGGTCAAAGAAAAAGAATGCGTGGCTCACCAGCTCTGGCACAACTATGTAAACAAACTGGTTCTGAGGGCTGACTCATTTCTAAGCCGACCATTCTCTGCCCCGCCAGCAGATGTCGCTAAACCCCTCTTTTTGCTCCCTGCTGCACCCATACGAGCTTAACAATGTAAACTAACATTGCAAAACAGTGCGCAAACGAATAGGCCCTGGAAACGGCTGCTTTGTCGGACATTGTTTGAGGAAAAAGGTCCATGTAAACGGCTGCCTTTAACCCAGCGCAGATGTGTGTTTGTTCTCGATTGATTTCATTGATTTTGTGACGTAAAACTCGAAACCATTTCAATAGCGCTTTCCTCCCCAAGGTTTTGTCTTCTGGTTTATACTGACTGAAAAAAACACAGATAGAAGTAAACTGCTGAAATGTTTTGATAAATTCTAGTGTTATTGCTTTTATAATTACAGATTTAGGTGTTGAATGAGTCACGTTAATGTTTATGATGTTATATAATAAAGGTTTTAGAAAATGATTAGGTTTTCTATAGTGTACAGAGTCAAGAGTATAAACAGATTATATTCTTTGACGAATATTTGTGATTGTGGAATTATCCTGAGAAGTAGTAATTTACAATGTTTATGGACAAACAACAGGAAATGAGCTGTAAGTCAGAAGTACACGTTTATATTTTCAACAGTTCCTACTCAGTTGTTAATATAGTTGAACTAATGAGCTAAAAAAGAGAACTAGTTTATTCCTAATTATTCACCGTGATGAGTTTTTACAACTTTCCGTGGCCAGAGCGGAGTTTTGCCATTAGTAAAGCTTACAACAAATATTATGCTAATGCGCACTTCCTGATTATCGGACAATAAAACGCTTTGTGATTAGATGCAGACAGAACGCAGCTAACATTTTCATTTCAAAAGCTGCTTATACAGTATTAGCCTGATTCATCAGATGGTTTGACTTTGTGGAAACTGTCTGACCTCACAGCATTAGGATTCGTTCGCTCGATGGTACGCGGGTGCTTTTTTTATTTAACCAATCGCTGCTATTTGGTCGTGACGTATGTAATCTACTTGATAAAATTCACCAAACATTCTCTTTGTTCCGGCTTTCAATCCTCGATGTCGGGAATCGTTGCCAACACAGAATGCCTGGCTTTGTCTACATCCATCTCGACCGCTTTGTTTATTGCAGAAGGGACCCAGACAGGCACTTGAGTTTGACGTCATGACTTCACAGCTCTTCACTGTTTGGCCAGTATGTGGTCTACAACTTCCGGGTTTCTCGCAAACCGTCTTGTGTATTCTGATTCCTGATCTAGTCACTGGGGAGAAATGAAATTGAGCAATGTATCTGTATGAGGACAAAAATACATGGGAAAAATCAGGTACAGGGCCTTTAAATCTACTTTATATTAGTCTTTATGTGTTTTGTGATTAGTGTGTAGATATATAAAAGAACATTTTCACATAAGCTGGCTACACACTAAGTCATAAACTCTTAGGGCGAATTCCTTTTAATTATTCTTCACAATTATTGCTTGTATTAGGTTATTTTCTGTATGTCATAATGTTGTTTCTTCATCACAAACAGACCTGGAGTTGTGTTTTGTTTACCACACAAACCCTGCATGTTTAGGTTACTTAGTTCTACTCTCGAACTGAAAACACTCTGTTCCAGCTTGTGACGACATATCGCAATACAGAAAGTACTCCACTGTGTTTTTAAACTCCACAGACCTTCACTTAAGGCTGTGCAATGAATACAATTTTGATCGTGATTTCAATTTGTGTGTCAAATAATCTCCAAACTTATAATCGAGTTGAAACTATTTTTATTTTGGGATATTTTTTATATAAATAAGTATATTTTTTTTTACTTTTGAAATCTAGAGCTGGATATATAATTTAGTTTGGATACATTTATGTTTTTATATGCTTTATTTCATGTTCAAAGTTTGTTTTATATTCATTTTATGTTTTATACATCGCAAAACTGCTCTAAGGTTCATATTTGTAGCCTATATTTATTTTCAGTTTGTAGGTTTTGTGTAAATTATCAATAACAAAATGTGTTTTTTGAGAGAGAAATGCTGAATAAATGTATCGTGTAACTAAAAAATAATAGTTTGAATAATCGTGATTTCCATATTGCTCAAAAATAATCGCGATCATGAGTTTTTCCATCATCAAGCAGCCATATCTTCACTCGAATTTCTTGTAAAAGGTAGCTGCTAACTTGAAAACTACCTCCTCAGAGCATTTTGAGATTTGGGGATGTAGACAGACTAATAATAAAGAGTTCCTCAAACATGTGTGAATGAAACAAAACACAACACCGGGTTTGTTTTTCACGAGATAACAACATTATAACAGATCAGGAAATAGCGTAACGTTGCTTAAAGCTCATGAAAGTCCATTTTGCGTAACACAGGACTTTTAATTGCCAATAAATCCAGTGGGTTTTCCTTCATTTATGATCTGTTTTGTTTCCACTGTCTGACCTACATTTGCAGCATGAGCCAGCTAGAATCCACGCTGGCCACGCCGACCATTCGCCCTTGAATACAGCTGCGCACATGAGGATGGGGAGGATTAATTGCCCTCTCTGTCAACCCCCACTCTCCCTCCCTCCCTCTCTTTCTCTCTTTTCTTTCCCTAAACTCCTCCCCCTTCTCTCCATAACACCTCCAACTCCCGCTTCTACCCACCCCCTCCTCGCGTTAATTCTCCTCGAGTCAGTCCTGATCTTCAAAGCTCGCCGTAAGAAAGGTTAAAGGTGCATTTTAAGCTTCGAGTGAGAGTCTATTTGGAGAGGAAAAAAGAGGGAGGGACGGAGAAAGAAAGAAAGAGAGAGAGAGATCAACCCCCCTCCCTCTCCGTTTCTCTTTCCGTCTTTCTCCGCCCTCCCTCATGAATCATTCAGTAGCCCCTCCCCCCCCCACTCTCCGTCAAGATCAGCTGGAGGAAGTGCCAGCTCGGCCAATGGGATCAGAGAACGCGTCTGGTCTGGTGCGTCCGTCCGTGCGTGCGCCTGTGTGTGTGTGTGTTTGCGCGCGAGTCTGTGTGCGTTTCAGTGTGTGTTTGTTTTTTCAGCTGGGGGAGAGAAAGCAGAGCGAGCCCGGACGAGTAGCAGACAGACAGTAGCTGTGGCGGCGGAGGTTCCAAACGGATAGCTCTGGACGTGTAAAATGTAGGGCACGCTAGCCGCTGCTACCACCTCCACTTCCCAGCTCCGGCTCCTGCTCCTGCTCCAGCTATCATCCAGTTGATTTAGCTATCTGCCTTTCTCCACAGTGCGTAGATGCAGCAGTGAGGGAGCACAAAAAGACAGCTAAGGACATTGCAAGCTCCACTTCTTCTGTGTTTACCAATGCTGGCTTATCCTAGCTGACAGAACTGGCATGTAAAAACTATCATCTATCGTCCTTGGAGAGTGTCGAGACAGATCGGGAAGCCCAAATTCCGATCATGAATTCTTGCTGGAAGATGAAGATCCAGGTATGTTTTTTTTTTCGCGTCTCAATTCTCGGATGCTGAGAATAGCCGCTCTCGAACTGCCATTGTCGGGCTTGTTGTTTTCATTCATTGGTTGTTATGGGGAGGCCTCCTTGTCGCCGTGGTGATGGCGAGGCGTGCTCTCCGATGCTGCGAGGGAAGGAACACTGGAAGAATTATTTATCGCGCTCCTCTGTTATGGTTATGGGTTCTCATCTCCCGAGAGGACGGCAGATTCTCGCTGTGTTATATTTGTGCACATGTAGCTTCCATCGCTCCAAAGGCTGACCCAGTTTCTCTTTCTCGATTTTTAGCCTTTGTTCCGGCGTAAACAGGAAATGTAAACATCAGCTTGAACTTGCTATAAATCTTTTCTCTTCGGGTTTTCTCGGGCTGTTTGTTTGTTGTCGTGATTATATTTACAGCGACGGGTTTGTAACAAGAATCAATTCCGTCTGCATGAACTGACATAGCCTTTTCAGCTTTTTTTAAGTTAAATACAAATCTGGTTTGGTGTAACTTTTTGGTTAGGGGTCCGTCACAGTTTGGTTTCTATGGAGATGTCATTGCTTTACCTGGAATGTCCCACAGTATGACATTAAACAGCTCTACCTTACATTTATTCGATTACCGGTGGTTTTAAAACTCAAAAATGCCTCAAAAAACTGCCGTTCTGACTGTGAGCGGGCATCGCCTCTCCGCAGATCCGACCTGTAACTTCGCCTAGTTTGGTCAGCATGAAGATCGAAAGGTTTAACACCACCATAGTGCGAAACATCCCAAACAAAACAATAACATTTCCGCGGAATAAAAGCGTTTGACGGACCTTCCACCGGAAAAGCTTCGATGCAACTTCAAAAAGGAGTTGCATGTTTTTCCATTTTTTTCTATCTGTCAATCCTCTGAGCTTAGCGAATAAGATCATGGACAGAAGCGCCAAATCGCCGGGCTTTGTGACAAACCTACAGCTGCGTCCAGGGGAGGAGGAGGCGATGGGTGAGGAAACCAGATTAAAGATGTCACATGGTCTAACGGGGCTTAAAAGTGACATGGGGGAGGATAGGGTTGAAAAGAAAGAAGGATGGATAGAAGAAGAATAAGAAGAAGGAACGCCTTGGAGTGGCAAGGTTAGATTGCCACATAGGGCGAGGAGCATTACAAGCTTGGTAGTAGAATGTAAACAAAGGCTTGGGCTGTTGCTGATTTGGCAAGAGGCTAAGAGAGATACGCAGATGTTTGATTTTCTGTTGTGCAATGTGAGAAGGTCATGCACTATTTTATCAAAGAGTATCCATGTTTTCCCTCCTTTTCCTTTGCCCATCTCCACGTGTTATCAACGGGTACTTTTGACTTCATCTGAGATTTATTTTAGCGCAGTCTGGCCAGAAAGAACTGAAGTAAGAGCTGGAAGTACAACAGATGAGCTAATTTGTGCTGGTAAACAAGTCCAGTACACATGAAATTTGTCACAAGCGTTGGCCAACAGTTTTACAGTTAGTCACTCTCGCAATTTTTAGTTAGGGTGACCAGATGTCCCAATTTATCCGGGACAGTCCAAAGTTTTGAGCCCTGTGTCCCCTGTCCCAGCAGATTTAGACAAAACCAGTGATTTGTCCAAGAAATGTACCAGGTGTCGCGATTTTTGACCAATCTGATATAAACCAGGACTAAACTAAGCCCTAAACCAAAACAAATCAGATCTAAAACAGGATTATCACAATTCTCGACTAATCTGATCCATGCCAACAGTAAAGAAGAGCATACATTGTCATTTCTATCTTTGCAAATGACCATAAACCAAAAAAATGCAGTGATAGAAGTCCATGAGTATCCACAATTTTATTTTATTTAAACCAAAATCCCAATCCATGGTGTGACATTAAACACATCTGTCTAGCATTTATTCATTACAGGTGTTTCTATTGCTCAAAAGTACAATAGTTCCTTTTGTGAATAGGGGCGCCTCTCCACAGATCTGACTTGTAATGTAGCGTAGTGCTGTAACCTGCTTGTCTCCCTCGTGTTAGATCGGTTAAGTTTGTACTGTGGAACATTATAGACAAAGCAATAACGTTTCCATGGAGGTGAAAAATAAGGTGGTGGATGCTCTGCTAGAAATGTTACGCAGTGCACCTTTAACTAATATGGTATTATATTGAAAGGGGGAGTCTAGAAACGGTAAATGCACCTTAAATTGTTTCTTCTATACTATTTACATTTCTCAAATAGGTTAGAGTGTCAAAATTCTGAGCTGGGACAAATCTGGTCACCCTAATTTTAGTAGAAAATCTAATTCTAAACAGGACCATAGATGCTTGTTTTGATCACAAGCTCCTGAAAATGTGTTTAAATCAATTTTGTGACAACTTCCAGGGTTCTTGCAAACCATCTAGTGTATTTCACTTCCTGACCTAGTCACTGGAGAGAAAATAAATTGAGTGGAGGCACTAGGTGGCATGAGCCTGGCTACTAAAATATAGCTTCAAAACATGAATGTTGCAATATCTTTAAAAAATACTAGCTTGCCATAGCTTTTCTTTGAATAAAAACATGCAGAAACACATGCATTTCATCTAATTCTGCCCAAAATTCTGGCTAAATATATACATTTATATATAAAATATCATAATGTAGTAATGTGTATATATATTTTTACTTTGCACTTATATTGTAGTTTGTTCTTTATTGAGAAATGACAACTATAAAACCTGTTTGAGAAATGTAAACAAAACTAGTGTAGGCGTTTCATTTACCATTTCTGGACTCCTCCTTCACTATACTACCATATTAGTTAAAGATGCACTGCGTAACATTTCTAGCTGAGCATCCGCCACCTTTTTATCACCATAGAAATATTGTTGCTTTGTTTATAATGTTCCACAGTACAGATTAAACCTATCTAACACGAGGGAGACAAGCAGGTAACAGCGCTACGCTATATTTCAAGTCGGATCCGTGGAGAGTTGCCCCTGTCCACAGAAGGAACCGTTGTACTTTTGAGCAACAGAAACACCCGTAATGAATCACTGCTAGACAGATGTGTTTAATGTCATCAGGCACAGCAATAATATCGCCATGGAGACAAATAGTTAGCAGACCCTCTATCAGAAAAGCTGCACTGTGCACCTTTGACATTTATCCAGATTCTCGTTTAATTTAACTTTATTTGCAAGTTAGTTTTAGTTAAAGGCACGTTTCTATCCAAGCTGTTGCGTAATTTTTTGTAATATTAGCTGCACCAAAGCGCCCAAACAGGTTGCAGACACGCCACAGTGTTTTGTGTAGAAAATCATCTCGCATATTTGAGGGAGTATCCAGTCTTGTGCACCAGCCTCAGGGGAGACTGCCTCAGATTAAAATAAAATCCAAAGTCCTTGTTTACGGAACACATAGTGAACACCGTAGCTTCCGTCTTTGTGCAAGAATGTAAAAGAATGAGGAACTAATGAGCTGGAAAATGACTCAGCCAAATGCGTGCTTTACACCTGTATTCAAGTTAGTTTTTGGTGTTAGGTTTAGTCCTTTTTTAAGTACAATAACCTGTGATACAAAAGGAAAGAAATGTCTCATATTACAATTTGTACCGATCTACGAGTATATTATAAAGTTTCCTCATCAAAAACATGCAGTTACATACGTTTAATGCACAAATTCTGCATATTTATTAGGCTGAGTTCTTCTCTCAAACAGAAAACACTTGGTACCCCCTTGTGATGTCATGTGGTAATACAGGAAGTGTTTTTAAACTCCATATTCCTTCACTAGAATCATTCGGATAATTTCAACTCTAGAATTCCCTGAAATAAAGGAAAAATGTAGCTGATAACTTGAAAACTACAACTTCATGACATCACAAGGTGGAATTGAACTGCATTTTGAGCTTTGGAGATGTAGCCAGACTAATAATAAAGTGTTAACCACATGTGTGAATGAAACAAAACACAACTTCAAGCCTATTTTTGAGGAAGTAACAACATTGTAACGTGACTTAAAGCTCACAAGAGTCTAGTTTGTGTAGTATAAGTAGTAGTAGTAGTAAGTAGTTAAAGTTTCAATTAAATTCTGTCTATTTTTGTATATTGACAGATCTGCTCTTATTGTCAAAATCTGGCAATACAATTCACATGATTTCTAAAACCACAAATGGTAAACTATTTTCAAAAATGTCTGGCCAGTTTTCCCCTTATTTAGAGTATTTAAAAGGTGCACTATGTAACTTTCTGTTGGATGATCTGCCAACATTTTTGTCTCCACAGTGATGTTATTGCTTTGCTTGGAATGCGACACAGTCTGATATTAAACTTAACTATCTCCATGGAAACAAGTAAGAGATGCCGCCAGACCAAGATACCGGTCAGATCTGTGCAGAGGATGCCCCAATGACCAATAATGGGTGTGTGTTACTCTGAGCAATAAATGCACCCAGAATTGAATGAACGGTAGATGTACAAGTTTATTAGCCTGATTCATCAGCCGGTTTCACTTTGTGGAAACTGTCTGACCTCACAGCATTAGCATTAGGATTCATTTGCTCGACTGCAGGCGGGTACTTTTTTTATTTAACCAATCGCTGCTATTTGGTCGTGACGTCTGTAATGCACCGCTAACAGGGCTAACTGGTATATTAAGCTGTTCCCAAATCCCGTGGGAAGAAGGGCAATAATGTCTTTCCCCTTGATAAAATTCACCAAACATTCTCTTTGTTCCGGCTTTAAATCTTCGATCTCGGGAATCATTGCCAACACAGAATGTCTGGCTTCGTCTACATCCATCTCAACCGCTTTGTTTACTGTTGTGCTGTACCACAAAAGAGACACAGACAGACGCTTGACTTTGACGTCATGGCTTCACAGCTCTTCACTGATTGGCCAGTGCACGGTCTACAACTTCCAGGGTTCTTGCAAACTGTCTAGTGTATTTTGATTCCTGACCTAGTCTCTGGAGAGAAATTAAATTGAGCGAAGGCACTAGGTGGCACCAGCCTGGCTACAAGTTTAATGCCACACTGTGAAAAATTTCAGACAACGTAATACCATCTCTGTGGAGACAAGCAGGTGGTTGACCCTCCTAAAGTTACACAATGCACTTTTAAGGAAGGTGACCAGAGTTTCAAAATCAGGAACTGGGACACCCCTGGGTTGGTTGTGATTGGTAATAATAAAATTGTGAAACGAGTGTGTAATTAAGGAAAATTGTTCTGCACTCGGCTCATTCACAACTTATTCACGATAACATGAGAGTCAGTATAGCCATGTTTTCTTTGTGTTTTTTGAACATTTTCCTAAACAAAAACCTAAAACCAAAAAAAAAACAAGACTCTTTACTGCTGACAGGTATCAAATTGGTCAAAAATAGGGACACCTGGGACATTTCTTGTATAAAACTGGGACAAATCAGTGGTTTTGTATAAATCTGCTAGGACAGGGGGACTGTCCCGTGTAAATAGGGACTGGTCTGGTCACCCTACCTTTAAGCCCTTGAGCAAAAATGGAGGCGTATCATTTTACCATCTTCAGCCACAAAACCAGAATGCTTCTTGTTTAAAAAAGCCACATTTCAGGCAGCGGTGGGAAATTACGTCTAACTTAAGCAACATTATTACTATCATGAGGTTAGCTGGGTACAACAATAACGTCTTTGTTGGCCAAATAATTGCAATAAAGATTTAGGCCTGATTCAGTTTACCAGAAATGTCTTTGTATGTGTGACCGCTCGCAACAAAAAGCAAGCAAGTAGGCAGCATTTTCTGAGTTTCATTTACTTTCCTTATCTATATCTCGACACATGGGCCATGATACGTTACATATCTTGATACAGTGAGCTTTCGATTCGATACCATTCCAGAAAAAATAATGACTGTGATACTAAAAGTCTTTGTTAAACCACTTCTTGTGCAAAGTTCATATGAAACACAAACATTATGCTTATCGAAAACCGTGGATATGTCAAATGTGTTGCATAAATGAGTTTCCTTCCTCTAAACAAGCAACAAAACGGTAGCGCTGTAAGAAAATAATTTAGTAGGGATATAACAATAACCGAAATATCGTGATATCGTTTCGTCAAAAGTCTCACAATAATATCGTGGGCCGTCATAATATATCGAAGTTCCTTTGCTTAAATGCATGGTTTTATAGTAGCAACAGCTTATAAACATCTGGAACTACATATCCCATGATTCATTTCAGTGCAAACAACATGAAGAAATATGTTTTTGTCTTGAATTTTTGGGATTATGATGGAAATAATTCACTCCAATATCTTGTCAAAGTATTTTAAAAGCAAAAAAGTGTCCAATCTACAATTATATTAGCCTCTCCAAAATATCGCAATAAATATCGTACCGTGAGATGCATATCGTGATAATATCGTACCAAGAGATTTGGGCATTGTTACATCCCTGTAATTTAGTAAAATATGCCAAAAAAATACTCTTGGCGATATATCGATACAGCAGCCCACGATATCGATACTGTATCATCACATTAAGCGATATGATATACCGATATTTTGATATTTTTGCACACCCCTAGTTATGAATTAATATCTGATGGTAAATGTGCTGCTAAGACACTAAAATGTGAAAACATAGAAGGATTTTGAGTCTGTAAAAATATGAATAGGCTTGTGTGATGTTTGAGTTAGGCCATGTCATGACCAGACCGAGTTACAGGTCAGATCTGTGGAGAGGCGACTCCGCTCACAGTCAGAATGTTTGTTTTTGTAGGTGTTTTTGAGCTATAAAACTACTTGTAATTGAAAAAAATAAGGTAAGGTAGAGCTGTTTAATGTCATACTGTGGAACATTCCAGGCAGAGCGATGACGTAACCATAGAAACAAGCAGGTGACGGACCCCCAACCAAAAAGTTACATCGTGCACCTTTAAAATAACCTAGCGTGACCAGTAAGACTTTGAGCGCAGTTTTGTTCCTTCATCTATTTTCTTTTGCTAATAAAAACAAAACCGTAGCCTGTTCAGAATCGCTTCCCCGCTTTCACGCTCCACGGGCTCAGCTAAGCGTGGTTAGCTCCAAAGTCCTCTCGAAAGTCCTTCAAAACTACCGCCACGCTCTGGAAGTTGTTTATTACCCCAGCAACTTCATTTATACATTTCTTAGCGGGTTACATCACAGGAACACGGCGGTTTCGCGCGGTAATAACACGGCTAATTAGCGATGACACAGCGGAAAGCTAATTAGCCGTAGCTTGACTTTTTCGCACCAGTCATAAATAATGTGTGGTGTGACTCAGAAGACGAAGACCCCCAAGAGAAGCTAATGAGCGGGGAGGAGATTTTAGTTGGAATAGTTTGAACGTATATCAGCACATCCCGCTCTCCGTGTGGTAGAATGAAAGTGCTATAGTACGCAACATGAAAACTTGACATCCGCAATCCAAATCGGCTCCACTGTGTTTTTGAACTCCACGCACCTTCACTAGAATTATTTGGAAGGTTTCAGGAATTATGGAATTGCCAAACTCTATTGAACTAAAGGTAAAAGGAGCTGTTAACTTGAAAACTACCGCTACATGACATCACAAGGTGGAACGGGGATTTTTGAGCTGGAGATGTAGACAGATTAGTAACAAAGGATTACTCAAACATGTGTGGATGAAACAAAACACAACTCGAGATGTGATTTTGAGGAGGTAACAACATTATAACATGACTTTAAGCTCACAAGAGGCAATTTTGTGTAATATAGGACCTGGTGTCGTAGTACTCGAGACCGGTCTTGGTCTTGAGACTGGACTCAAGACCATTTTTTTCGGTCTTGGTCTCGTCTCGCACTCGAGTGCATTTGGTCTCAGGCTTGTCTCGGTCTTGATGGTGCTTGGACTTGGTTTTGTCTCGGTCTTGATGGTGCTTGGACTCAGTTTTATCTCGGTCTTGGTGGTGCTTGGATTTGGTTTTGTTTCTGTCTTGATAGTGCTTGGACTCTGTCTTGTCTCGGTCTTGATGATCCTTGGACTCAGTTTTGTCTCAATCTTGATGGTGCTTGGAATCAGTCTTGTCTTGATCTTGATGGTGTTTGGACTCAGTCTTGTCTCAGTCTTGATGGTGCTTGGACTCGGTGTTGTTGCGGTCTTGATGGTGCTTGGACTCGATTTTGTCTTGGTCTTGATGGTGTCTTGGACTCAGTCTTGTCTTGGTCTTGATGGTGCTTGACCTCGGTCTTGTGTCGGTCTTGATGGTGCTTGGACTCGATTTTGTTTTGGTCTTGATGGTGTTTGGACTCAGTCTTGTCTTGGTCTTGATGGTGCTTGACCTCGGTCTTGTGTCGGTCTTGATGGTGCTTGGACTCGGTTTTGTCTCGGTCTTAATGGTGCTTGACCTCAGTTTTATTCTCAGTCTTGATGATACTTGGACTCGATTTTGTCTCGGTCTTAATGATACTTGGACTCGGTTTTGTCTCAGTCTTGATGATACTTGGACTCGGTCTTGTCTCGGTCTTGATGGCTCTTCGTCTCGGTCTTGTCTCGGACTCGAGGTCTGACACTCGACGAGTGCGATCATATTTCACTGCGGCCGGTAAATGTGCAGAGGCTGCTAAATATTACTGTAAAAACTAGTAAGATAATGTAACTGTAAATGTTATGAATGTGAAAAAACACACGATTAACTATGAAGTTGTTGAAGTATGTTTTTGTAAAGTGCCAGTGGAAGTGGAATTAAAGAAGGGGTTTTAAAACTGTGGGTCAGGGTCCAACAAAGGGGCACAGAGTGTTTAGGTACAGTATGAATAAGGGCCTTTATGTCAATTCTCTCCACATGTACATGTACACACAAAGGAATCGAAATTGGATCTCTCCCCCTTCTGCACATTACAATCATACAATACAATACAATCCATGGGGATGACAACTTGGACAGGACCAGGAGACAGGGAGCAGATAGGAATAAACACTGCAGCATAACATGAGGATAGGGGGAGGAGAAAAAAAAAAGTTAGTGTGGCCTATTTTAAGCCTAAATGAACATTAATCAGATAAAATGGAGATAGATTTATAAAAGCATTGATATACAGTATATGTGTGCCAAAATAACTTTAAAATTCAAATAAATGTAGGAAATGACAAAGATGGTCTTGATTTGGTCTTGATTTGGTCTCATTGGGCGGTGGTTTTGGTCCTGTCTCGGTCTTGACCTTCAAAAGTCTTGGTCTTGTCTTGATCTTGTCTCGGTCTTGACCCTCAGAGGTCTTTGTCTTGTCTCAGTCTCGAGACCCTGTGATGTCGGACTAGTCTTGATCTCGATTAGTTTGGTCTACAACACTAATAGGACCTCTAATGTACACACCGTATAATTTGTCTTGGAATTTTTTTTGTATTTTTACTACTACTAATAAAGCAGTTTGTTCGCAAATGTAAAGTGCATTATACATAAATTATTTGCAATACAAATTAAGTTAAATGTCCTATTGTGCAAAATGATTCTTGTGAGCTTTTAGTCGTGTTATAATTTTACCTCATCAAAAACACTCCTGGAGTTGTGTTTTATTACATTCACACATGTCTGAGGAACCTTTATTATTAGTCTGTTTACATCTCCAAAGCTCAAAATGCTCTTGTGATGTTATGTTGTGGTAGTTTTCATTTCCTTTTACCTTTATTTCAGTAGAGATTGGCAAACCCAGGGCTGAAATGATCCAAATGATTGTAGTGTAGGTGTGTGGAGTTTAGAAACACAGTGGAGCACTTTTAGTATTACCACAGATCAGAGTGTTTTCTGTTTGAGAGAAGAACTAAGCCTAGATCTGTGTGTTAAAAATGTTTTTTGAAGAGAGAAATGTGTATTCTGGATTCCAGGCAAACCTTTTATAATACACTGAGTCATTTAATATTTAGTTTCAGTCAGGCCTATTGGTAACTCTCTACAAACCTCCTTTCAGGAACAAAAAAAAGTAATTTTTTTAACACAGAAATTGTTTTGTTTTGTTTTTTTTTGTTATGTCTTTACACGAGCATGCTAACAAAGTAGTTTTGTGCAGGTTTTGTCCCCGCTCTCGTGCTCTGCCTGGTTATTGGACAAACTGATTGAGAGTGAGTCACTGTCTGTCCAACCTGAGTGACCTCTATTAGCAAGTGTGCGTCAGAGCATCCGCCGAACAGGAGTCCACCGGAGCACACAGTAGGTCTCTCCTGCCTGGCTTTTGTTAGACTCTCACATGAGCTGTCCCCATTTGCACACTCTCAAAGCTAGTTTCTAATCCAGGAATGAATGATTTTGTGAATGAAATATATTTATATATAGTATTGTCACGATTCTAAAACTTCCTGGTCTGTTTTATTCACAATGAAAAGATTTGGTTTTGTTTCTAATGAAAAGGCTTGATGCTTAAAGCTGGTTTAATACTGATACAAATTTTGGCACCACAGTATTGATACTTGATACTTTATATACATTAGAGCGTTGTTACTCAGCTCACACACTTCTTGTTTGTTTCCAGCAAAGCACACAGTGACTCTCTCCTGCCTGGCTTTTGTTAGATTCTCACATGAACTGTCCCCATTTGGCTACCGTGGATCTCAGCACACTGTCAAAGTTAGTTTCTAATCTGAGAATGAGTTGAACGAATGGTTTTGTGAATGAAATGTATATATAGTGTTGTCACTATACTAAAAATTCAAGTTCGGTTTGTTTCTAATGAAAAGGCTCGATGCTTCAAACTGATTTCAGTACAGATTTTGGCACCACAGTATTGATACTTGAGAGTATTTGAGTATCTAGATTAGGGATGGGCATGATTAGTCAATTAATCAATAACGATCGATCATTAAAAATTTCATTGATTATGTTAATTTTAATCGACAAACCGAATGTAGGTTGCTGTGTGTAGCGTGACCAAACAGGGGTCCGTACATGTAGCTCTCTGCATCAGAAGGAGCGAGACACAAACAGTGGGTCAGTCTGCGACGTGCCGATGCACAAATGCGCATTTAACGATGACTTGTACAAGAAATTCCATGTTTTCCTTTCCAGTCGGGACAAGTGTGTGGTCACGTGCACAGTGTACAAAGCAGCACATATGTTTCGGTGTACAGTGGGACACCGAAAAGATGAAAAAGTTTTGCCAGGTGAGAGTCGCGCAATGTCGATGACGAGTCCCCACCTCCCACCCCCCGTACGGTGTCCTGGTTTTGACAAAGGCAAATATGCTCACACTAACCTGTATTCCACTTAGTCGTGTCGCATCAGCACACAAGAGCTGTTTTTTTTTCCTTCGCTTAGTTTATGCAAATTAGCCATGCAGTTTTAAGTTTCGTTTCTGTGCAAAGCTGCATTAAACACATTATAATGTCAAATGGTCTGATGTGGCTCTAGAGTGGTCACGGTTTGTATGTCGTAAAGTTGGATTTATTTATGCAGTTTAGTAGTGGAGATAGTAATAATAATGTAGATAAATTTTAACATAAAAAACTTTAATGATGAATCGATAGTCGATCGTTAATTCTCCCGACGAGTGATTAAGAAAATTTTATCGAACGCCCATCCCTAATCTAGACTCAGCATTGGTTAGTATTTGGATATTAATACTTTACAATTATGGATGTCAAAAGTATCAAAAATCAGAGATGAATTCTTGAGCAAGTATCGATACTAAAAACGTCACATTCGCAGGACAAAAATGAACCTTTCCTGAATAGTTTTAGAATGATCTTGAGCTCTATCAGAACAAGTACAAGAGCACAGAGACTATTGTTCCTTTAAATCTATGTTTTACTTCTTCTGTGGCTTTATATTGAAAGATAACTAGATGTTTAGCTTTTTATATATGATGGATGATAATTATATGAAAAAGTCTTCCAAATATAATTCCTCTATAACTTTATGGGCAATGCTTCTTTTTATTTGCCTTTTGTAAATCCAGACTGATCTCTCTCTGTAGTTTTATACAGATGGATCTCAGTCTGGTCCCCACTGCCTCCATTGCATCTCGAGCCCAGTCAACATAATCAACATAACAACATAACATCCAATCAGATTTGTCTCTTTTCAGTGACGCATGTGAAATAAGGAGCTCATTGGTCACGTAGAATTTATGAGCGGAGAAGAAACCCACACACCGTTCTCCTTCCAAATTGTGAATTTAATTAGGACGTCAACAACATTTTAGCACTAGGCCTTCATCAGGCAAAAAAAAAAAAAAAAAAGGCCTAGTGCTGTTGATTTGCAATTCTTCCCTGTTCATATTTTTGGGCTGCTCCCTTTCCTCCAACACATCCTTTTCAAGAAGCTGATGTGCGAAGTTCTTTTTCTTTTATATCACCTATAATTTATAAATAAAGTCTAATTTCTCTCACCTCAGATGAAGTTTAGTGCTCCACTCATTGATTCTGCTGAAATCTATGATGTTTTTCAGTTCCTTGTTATATATGAATCCGTATATCATTTCTTCATTCGATTTTCAATATAAAACCAAAAATAAGAAAACAAAAAAACCCCAACTGTTTTCTTTATTGTTTGTCTCCAAAACCAAAATGAAAAAATGGATAACAATTCGTTTTTTCAGGTTTCAAATTTGTGTTTAAATGAATAATGGAAAAAATGGATAATGAAAGTTTCCTTGACTTCATTGACTTAAACTGTGATGCTGAACTTTTTCACTACATACGGACTGAACCAGGACTAAACCAGGACTAAACTAGGTCCGAGACCAGTCCAGGACCAGACCGGAATCAGACCAGGACTGAGACCAGGACTTAGACCGGGACCAGGACTGAGACTGGGACCAGACCGGGACTGAGACAGGGACCAGACCGGGACTGAGACAGGGACCAGACCGGGACTGAGACCAGGACTGAGACCGGGACTGAGATTGGGACTGAGACCGTAACTAAGACCGGGACCAGACCGGGACTGAGACAGGGACCAGACCGGGACTGAGACAGGGACCAGACCGGGACTGAGACCGGGACTGAGACCGGGACTGAGACCGGGACTGAGACCGGGACTGAGACCGGGACTGAGACCGGGACTGAGACAGGGACCAGACCGGGACCAGACCGGAACTGAGACCAGGACTGAGACTGGCCGTTATTTTTTCCATTATTCATTTAAACACTAAATCGAAAACTGTAAAAAATGAATCGTTATCTGTTTTGTTTTTTCGTTTTCTTATTTTTGGTTTTATATTGAAAAACGAATGAACGAATGATACACGTTTTTTTTATGTATTTTACTTCATATTTTTTTCAATACGAACAGATCACGCATGTCTCTGAACCATATTTCAATCATGCACCATTTGAAAACAGGGAGATTCAGAGATGACCAGACTCACATCTTCATTACTTATTGCAGAAATGTGTATTCTGGATCCCTGGCACACATTTTATAATCCCCTGAGTGATTTAATATTTAATTTCAGTCACGTCTATAAGTAGCTCCCTACAAATCTCCTTTCAGGAACACCTACTAATTCTTCTATCAAATACTTGAGATGACTACACCTGCGCTAATGCACTATGACAGAACAAATCACCTTTAACTCCCATTATAATTACCCATATCCATCTGAAGTGACGCGCACACCATTACTTAATAAAGCTTCTACTTTTCAATGGCCCTCTGTGTAATTGTAATCATAATAGTTATTCCGTACAAAGGGCTGGTCTAGACTTCCTCCCGCTGATGAAGTCGTGTTGTTGCTAACGTAACCGGCCGTGCCTCTGGATGGCTGTTTCCTGTTTGGATGCACAGATGCAATTAGGAGAGATGAAGATAGATAGTGCACTAAAGAACGGAGAGAGGGAGAGGGGAGAAAAAGGAGAGAGAAGAGTGAAGAGATGGTATGTTTCTGGTGGAGCGTCCATCAAACGCTTTTCTCCTTAGACATGTTGTTGCTTTGTCTGGAATGTTTCACAGTGGTGGTATCAAATGCTTTTATCGTCATGGAGACCAAACCAGACCAAGTTACAGGTCGGATCTGCGGACCCCGCTCAGCCACAGTGCCAGTTTTCTTGGTATTTTTGAGCTATAAAACTACTATATATTTTTTGGACTATAAGGCACAATATCAATAATGTTGAAATCTCTCGTCTATTTTCATACATAAGGTGCACCGTATTATAAGGCACATTAAACGAAACAAACGGACGACTGATCCCTTAGCCCAGGCGTCCACGATCCATTGGCAGATCGTGGTGTAATTCACCCGGCGTTGCCTCCCTGTCTTGGTGAATGTGGATTATGAATGTGAATGTGAGTGGATCATTTAAGTTTCCTATGAGGAGGACTCAAATATACATTCAGTAATAATTAGTTTAATGCAGCTTTGCGCACATTTGTTTATGTTTTACAGAAACAAAGCTAAAACCACATGGCTCATTTGCATAAATTATAAGCACTGAAAAAAACAGCTTCCTTCTTGTGCGCTGATGAGGTCAGCTTCTGTTGGACTAAAGAACACAACTAAGTGGAGGTCAGTAAGCACAACCACAAGTAAGATTAAGTTGATTTTTGAGAAAATGAAAGGATTTTAAGTGCGCCTTATAGTCTGAAAAAAATGGTATCTGTACTTGAATAAATGTAAGTTAAAGCTGTTTAATGTCATACTGTCATACATATCCCTAGAAACAAGCAGATGACAGACCCTCAACCAAAAAGTTACACAGTGAACCTTTAAAATGATAAATGGTCACATCGTCATACAGCACTTTGTTACTTTCAAGTCACTCAAAACGCTTTAAAACAAGGAACAACTCACCCATTCACACACATTCACACACCAGTGTACGCAGACACTGGGGGCGAGGTAGGTTAAGTGTCTTGCCCAAGGACACAATAACAGCTTTCATATGTGGGAGCTGAAATCACGCCGCCAACCTGTGGGTCAGTGAACAAGCGCTCTACCAACTGAGCTACTGCCACCCACATTTCACTATTTTCGCTATTTTCTGATCTACATTATAACGTTTCCTGTTCAAAAATTGTGAGTTTTGCGTCAATCACTCATGTTTTGTTATTGTGTCCTTCAGCAACACATTACACCACAGGGCTGCAGCAGGTGTACAAATCCCACTTCCTCTAGCAGTTTAACCAGTTTAACGTATTATTTGACAGTAAATGACCCAGAGCCAATTCTTCCGCACCTCTCTTATCCTGACCTGCGCGGATTTAGAAATATA